CAAAAACCCCCCCCCCCCCCTTTGGGAATGGCCTAAAGACACTACAGTCAGTGACACTGCCCCGGGGGGTAAATGATTCTGAACCACTATAGATTTTGTCAAATTCAAAAGTTAAGTGGTTCAGAAGTTTTAGGCGGCGTAAGTGACGAACTTTCACAAAAATGATATATAGAGATTATAAAGGGGAAAACTGCGTGAAACACTGGGGTTTTTTTTTCAAAGTAAAGAGAAGCTCATCGCCGACACAATAATGGTCATTTAGTGCTGGGATTGGGCAAACAAACAAGCAGACAGACAGAAACAACAGAGAGAAAGTCAAACAGTAGAACCGAAGGCGGACCCCCCATAGACGGCACACGGCACACGGCACACGGCACACGGCACGCGGCACATGACTTGTCGTCACGTGCCGTGCTACAGGCTAATACCCCTCCCTCTATAGACCATAGCAGGACATAACAACACAACACATCACAACCATGGATTCGTCCAATGAAGATACTCTGATCAAGTTAGCAAATCTAAATAATCGGAAAAAGAAGAGGGAAAAGCGGATCATGTGGTGCAGAGAACATTTTCTATTGAGGAGTAGTAGAGGAGAATTTCATCGAACTTTCAGCTCTTTGATGAGACATAGAGATTAGACTTTGTTCTTTAATAACCTAAGAATGCCATACAGAACGTATGAACTGAAGAACGAGTTTTGGGGGTCCCAAAAAAGCGGTCGGTCTTTCACAAGTTCAATAATTTCTTTCTTGTACTACTTGTAGTCAACCATTTTGGCAGCATACGAAAACAAAAAATTAAAAACGAGCAATGCAGCAATGCAAGGCACCGCAATGTTTCGTCGTGGCTGTGTCGTGCCGTCAATGGAGTGCGCAACTCTAAATGGTTGTGTTTAATTTTATTCCGCACGCGTACCATGTGCTGTGTGCAGTGTGACGCGTGCCGCGTGCCGCGTGCCGTCTATGGATGGTCTGCCTACTGCTTAACAGTGGCTTTCTCCAACCACCCGTTGTGTGGTTCGGAGCGTATTTATAGAAACAATTAATATTGTTATTGCATCGTCGTGAAAAGAGTTCGTTTCACGAACAGTTTTCAATACATTTTAAGTTCCATTTTGTTTTAATTTGTTATGTTATGTTTTACCGCACTGTCAACACACGAAGGTCACATAAGTGCCAAATGTTAGATTTGTTCCAAGAGAGCTACGGGGACAATAATCAATAAAGAGGAAATATACGGACACTACTGTTTGATGGGGGTTGTCATGGCCTAAAGGTTAAGGTGTTCACCTTTCTTTCATTCAAAGGTCCCGGGTTTGAATCAGGGTAGAGACCGAAAAGTTTTCTTCTCTAAAATTGTCTCCTTTCACCTCCTTTCCTGCTGTCTAGCAATGTTCTGTCGTCTACTCTCGTGTGTACTTTCTGCCCCCACCCCGTCACCTCCTTTGCCCCCTCCTCGTTTATTGTACGGCTGACTCTTTCTGCAGTCTTTCTACTGCTACACCTTGGCTCCTTCTCTCTGCTGTCTTTCAGCCATACCCCTCATCTTCTGGTAGTAAAGATCTACACCTAGCCTTCTCGCACAAGGGCAAAAACATCTCGGAGGTCCCCTGTGCAAGTTGCAAACGTTAAAGATCCTTTGGTGGTAAAAAAAATCGAAATAAGAGTAGGGTTCTGCCGCAACCAGGGAAAATTTCAAAAAGGATAATACGTTCCACGCGCTCATATGACGTTATACAGTTCGAGCGCCGTAAAACACTTACCAAGAAAAAAAGAAAAGAAAAATATATTTGATCGGGAAGAAGGAGCAAACTACAGAACACCCGCCAAGCACCAATGTTTGATATTTTGAGTGAGGAAATTATTCTGAGAAATCAGAGCCATTAAACAATGTGGCATCTATTAAAGATCTACGAGAGCGAGATCGTACCTGTTAAACTTCTTTTTTATGTCAAAGCACCCATCACGCAGAATTGTGTCGTCACAGCGTCAGTAGTATAGTGGTAAGGCTACCGGACTCGCCATCGTGAGGTTCCGAGTTCGGATGCTCGAGACTCAAACCTGACCTTTACAGGAATTTTCCTCATTTCAGCATGGTATAATCGGATATCTGGCCATTGACAGCGGAAAAAGTGAGACAGACAAAAACAACAGAGGGAAAGTAAAGAGGTAGGACCTACCAGTGGCGCCTCCAACC